GGAGTTGCAATTCTACTTTGTTTTTTTTAAGTTATTTTAGTTTCGACATAAGATATATGGAATCACGCTCTGTAGGATTTGAACCTACGACATCGGGTTTTGGAGACCCGCGTTCTACCAAACTGAACTAAGAGCGCTTTCAAAACAAAAAAAAGAAAATCCTTTTCTATTCCTAACGTGTCTCACGTCCGTATAGTATCCACAAATTCAAGTTATACCCACTTTACTTTAATTGATCTCCCCACTACTGCCCATAAAGAAGAGATAATTAATAGGTAGGGATGACAGGATTTGAACCTGTGACATTTTGTACCCAAAACAAACGCGCTACCAAGCTGCGCTACATCCCTTTTCCAAATTGTTGTACAATGCCATTGTACACAATTCCTTTCTTGTTTTCCACATCGTAATTTTCTTCTATTTCTTTATCCATATAGAACTTTCTTGTCATTTCTTGTTTTTGGTCTCATATAATCAAGGAAGGGTATAAACTAAAATCCAGTCAAATTTCACCTATAAAAGAAAGACTACTATTCCTTAGTAATGTATAGGAAGAAGGGGTCATCTTTTTTAGGGATAGGAAAATCTCGTCTATACGGTTCATTCTATATATATAGAATATTTATTTTGTTTTTTTAGTTAGGAATTTCGCCTAAACAAAAGAAATACAAAGGATCTTGGGCAAGAGTATCTGATCATATATGTATTCCAATACCGAAGGAGGATTTTCAATGCGGGATATAAAAACATATCTCTCTGTAGCACCCGTGCTAAGTACTCTATGGTTTGGGGCTTTAGCAGGTTTATTGATAGAAATCAATCGTTTATTCCCAGATGCTTTGTCATTCCCTTTTTTTTAATTCTAGTTATTCCTATGCAAGAGATAGAATTCTTCGTGACATGACGAAAATTTTCCCTTTTTGAATTCTTTTTTAGTATATGAAGCAAAAAGAAAGAAAAGATGGATAAGGATTGTATTCTTTAATTATTTCTCTATGTTTTATTACTTAATTTATGATTTACGAATTTCCATTTTTTTTTTATTCTATTGGATTGGATTTGTTCGAGAATTCGAAGAATTACAACAAAATCTTTAGAAATCACATTTTTAGTTAGGAACTTCTATGGATTTTATTCTTCTTCTTTTCTTGGGATCCAAAATAGAAGAATAAAAGAATAGGTATAAGAATTAAGTTAAGTCGATCCAAAAAGGAAAGGAGGTTCATGGCCAAGGGCAAAGATGTTAGAATCCGAGTTATTTTGGAATGTATTAGTTGTGTTCGAAAGGGTACCAATAAGGAATCGACGGGGATTTCTAGATATAGTACTCAAAAGAATCGCCACAATACGCCCGGACAATTAGAATTAAGAAAATTTTGTCGTTATTGTCGAAAGCATACCACTCATAATGAAATAAAGAAATAGGAGCATCGTGTGTTCGATTTTTCCAAAGAACAGAAAGAGTAAGAACTTCTTATTAAATATATAGAACATAGATAGAATACAAAATACAAATCAACTAATCTGATTTTAGGTAGATATTATTTCATATGTATAGAGGGTTTTTATTTTTATATATTTGGATTTTATATATTTTTATATAGTATATTAATCAAATAATATATGGACCAAAGAAAGACTACTTCTTCTGGTTCTGGATAAAAAATTAATAAAATAAAGAAATCTTTTTTTTTTTTCAAATTTTTAAATAAGGAATAAATCATGTATATATCTAAACAACCTTTTCGTAAATCTAAGCAACCCTTTCGTAAATCCAAACAACCTTTTCATAAATCTAAGCAACCTTTTCGTAAATTCAAACAACCTTTTCGTAAATCCAAACAACCTTTTCGTAGGCGTTCTCGAATAGGCCCGGGGGATCGAATTGATTATAGAAACATGAGTTTAATTAATCGATTTATTAGTGAACAAGGAAAAATATTATCCAGACGAATAAATAGATTAACCTTGAAACAACAACGATTAATTACTCTTGCTATAAAACAAGCTCGTATTTTATCTTTCTTACCATTTCGTAACTATGAGAATGAGAAGCAATTTCAAGCCCAGGCAATTTCAATAATTACTGGTCCTAGACACAGAAAAAATAGACATATTCCTCAATTAACACAAAAGTTCAATTCCAATCGAAACTTAAGAAACTCCAACCAGAATTTAAGAAACAACAATCGAAACTTAAGTTCCGATTGTTGATGTTTTATTCGAAAGGCTCAGACTCATATATAAAGAAAGTAATCCAATTTTGATTCTTGTGTTTGTTATAAGAAAGAAAAATGGGAAAAAAGAAATAGTTTTTTTATTTATTGCAACATGCTCGTTGATTCCTACCACTTAATCTTAATTTATTGTATCTTCCCGGAGTTCCCTCTCCGGGAATTCGGTTTTAATTATTCCTGTATATTACTTTTTTATCCTTTAATTGATAGTCCTTATTTTATTGGAAATCGTGTAAAGATTATTTGGATTTGATACAGCTACTTGTGCAAGCATTTTACGATTAAGAATCAATTCCTTCTTGGACAGATTGTGTATTAATTTACTATAACTATTGAATACGTTATATACCCGTGTTGCTGCGTTTATCCGAGTGATCCACAAACGACGAAAATCCCTCTTTTGCCTGCCTCTATCTCGATGAGAAGAAACAAAAGCTCTTCTTACTTGTTGAGTAATCATTCGATTAAGTCTTAAATGAGCCCCTCTAAAGTTTGAGGCAAATGAACGCATTTTTGTTCGTCGTCTCCGAGCTATATATCCTCGCGGAACTCTGGTCATTGAATCAAATTAACCTTAATGAATAACTAATGATTTCTCTTCTTTTAACCCTCTTTTTTCCCATTAATAACTAAACGGATTATTCCGATATATAAAATATTAATTCCAATGGCTTTTGCTACTATAACCTTCCCAACCACGATTTTTTATTCTATTCAGTTATTTCGCATAGAAATAACAAATTCTAACGATACTAAAAAAACAGTGGGTTCCATCGTTTTTATGGTTCCCTTTTAAACGGCGAGGCCCTCTCTATACACCGGAGCCCTTTCTTTCATTTCATCAAAAGGTATTGTGAACTTGTATAGTTCACATTCTTTGGCTCTACCTATCCATTATAGAGTGAATAACTCTTTTCACAATAAGAGTTATTCATACAGTGACGGTATTTAATTATGAAAGTTGGCTAAGTAGCTGACCCTTTAGTCCGTTCTTTTAAGATAAAGGAGCATAAGCCTTTTTCTTTTTATTACTATTTCCTCCGCTTAATGGATAACCATTTGTTACCAATGGGGGAATTGCTTCTTCCAATCTAGATGATTGGATTTGCACCAAAGGAAACCATAAATTCCATATACCATAGAAATCTAGGATAGAGCTTCTCTATCCTATTCATTGGTACCGATCATGGATACTTCAAAAATTTTATTATTTGTTTGAACTCATGATCTGAACGAGTCGCACATACACCCTAGCACATGTTCCTCGACGCTGAGGACATCCCTTAAGCGCGGCCGATTTTCTAGCATTTCGTATTGGCTGTCTTGCATTTCTAATAAGTTGTTTAACCGTTGGCATGTCGTATGTATATATAAAATGGATTGGTTTAGATCGATCTTAACCTGATGATTCATCATCATGAAGTATTTCTATTTTCTATAGCATAAAACCCGAATTTAGGTTTGAAATAAATTTACAAGGAATCCACCCACTACCAATCCTTAAACATTTCTGGAAACCACACTGGATCAGTATCGCAGTGCTCGTCAATCATTTCATCCCCTACAATATCGACAAGTCCATAAGCTTTGGCTTCGTCTGCTGACATAAAAACATCCCTTTCCATGTCTTCGGATACAACCCAAAAAGGCTTGCCTGTTCTTAGTGCATAAACCCTTGTGATCATTTCGCGAACTTTGTGTAACTCTTCCACTTCTAGTAAAAATTCTGGTGTCCTTGCCCGATAATAAGCACTAGCAGGTTGGTGAAGCATAATCCTAGCGTGAGGGAATGCTATACGCTTGGTGGGTTCTCCTCCAAGCAGAATGAAGGAGGCCATGGACGCGGCTATTCCGAGGCATATTGTATATATATCAGGTGTCACCGTTTGCATCGTATCAAAAATCGCCATTCCTGAGATTAGCCACCCGCCAGGGGAGTTTATAAACAAAAAAATATCGCTATTTCCATCTTCTATACTGAGATATACCATCAGACCTGTAATATGATTCGTGATCTCGCAACGAATCTCTTGACCTAAAAAAAGTGTCCTTTCTCGATACATAACATTGTATAAGTCAACCCAAGTCGCTTCTTCATCTCCGGGAATCCGGTAAGGTACTTTTGGAACACCAATGGGCATATTAGATTAATATTATTAAATTTAAGTAAAAAAACTACACTTTAATATGGAAACGTAAGAATGGAAGAGAAAGAAAGAATCCGCAGTTTATTATCTTCATTTTTTTCTTATTCTATAAGAATACTATAGATTCTATTAATACATAGATTGAAATAATACATAGATTGAAAGATTCTACATATAAGGAAGGTAAGACAGATTGAATAAAGAAAAAGGAATCCGTGATTCGAATGATAAACAAAGAGGGATGAAGGATCTATTCTTCGTTTTTAAAAATAGCCCAAGCTACCCATTGCATATTGGCACTTATCGAGTATAGAATAGATCTGCTTCTCTTTCTTCTTACAAACAGAATTGGCTTGTTATTTTTAATGGAATGAAATAAATATTCACGCTTTCTGACATAGAATCCCCTAGAAGGGTTAGGTACATAGAATATGTATGGACAGTCTTTTCCAATGCGATAAAATAAAGCGACATCGTGTCTATTTTTCTTTGCTAAAGGGGTATTTCCATGGGTTTGCCTTGGTATCGTGTTCATACTGTCGTATTGAATGATCCGGGTCGATTGCTTTCGGTGCATATAATGCACACAGCTCTAGTTTCTGGTTGGGCTGGCTCGATGGCTTTATACGAATTAGCGGTTTTTGATCCCTCTGATCCTGTTCTGGATCCAATGTGGAGACAAGGTATGTTCGTCATCCCCTTCATGACTCGTTTAGGAATAACGAATTCGTGGGGTGGTTGGAGTATTTCAGGCGGAACTGTAACGAATCCGGGTATTTGGAGTTATGAAGGTGTGGCAGGTGCGCATATTGTGTTTTCTGGCTTGTGTTTCTTGGCAGCTATCTGGCATTGGGTATATTGGGACCTAGAAATATTCTGTGATGAGCGGACGGGAAAACCTTCTTTGGATTTGCCCAAGATCTTTGGAATTCATTTATTTCTTGCAGGGGTGGCTTGTTTTGGCTTTGGTGCATTTCATGTAACGGGTTTATATGGCCCTGGGATATGGGTGTCCGATCCTTACGGACTAACTGGAAAAGTACAAGCTGTAAATCCTGCGTGGGGTGCAGAAGGTTTTGATCCTTTCGTTCCGGGAGGAATAGCTTCGCATCATATTGCTGCGGGTACTTTGGGCATATTAGCGGGCCTATTCCATCTAAGTGTCCGTCCGCCTCAACGTCTATACAAAGGGTTACGTATGGGCAATATTGAAACTGTACTTTCCAGTAGTATCGCTGCTGTTTTTTTTGCTGCTTTCGTAGTTGCCGGAACTATGTGGTATGGATCAGCAACTACCCCAATCGAATTATTTGGGCCTACTCGTTATCAGTGGGATCAGGGATACTTTCAGCAAGAAATATATCGAAGAGTTAGCGATGGGTTAGCCGAAAATCTTAGTTTATCAGAAGCTTGGTCTAAAATTCCCGAAAAATTAGCCTTTTATGATTATATTGGTAATAATCCGGCAAAGGGGGGATTATTCAGAGCAGGCTCAATGGACAATGGGGATGGCATAGCTGTTGGATGGTTAGGACATCCCGTCTTTAGAGATAAAGAAGGACGCGAGCTTTTTGTACGTCGTATGCCTACTTTTTTTGAAACATTTCCGGTAGTTTTGGTAGATGAAGAGGGAATTGTGAGAGCGGACGTTCCTTTTAGAAGAGCAGAATCCAAATATAGTGTTGAACAAGTAGGCGTAACGGTGGAGTTCTATGGTGGCGAACTTAATGGAGTAAGTTATTCTGATCCTGCTACTGTAAAAAAATATGCGCGGCGTGCTCAATTAGGGGAAATTTTTGAATTAGATCGAGCTACTTTGAAATCAGATGGTGTTTTTCGCAGCAGTCCAAGGGGTTGGTTCACTTTTGGTCATGCTACCTTTGCTTTGCTCTTCTTTTTCGGACACATTTGGCATGGCGCTCGAACCTTGTTCCGAGATGTTTTTGCTGGTATTGATCCAGACTTGGATGCTCAAGTGGAATTTGGAACATTCCAAAAAGTTGGAGATCCAACTACAAGGAGACAGGCAGCCTGATACCACATTGCTATGGTATCTTTCACCTCTCTTTTTTGTTTGATTTGACATGAGGAACATCTCCTGTCCTTTCTTTGACTCTTTTTCTTTTTTTATATGGGAAATGATCCCAAATGATAAGTGAATAGGTGTGGAAGTTATAATTGTAAATAAACCAGGATCGAATCTATGGAAGCATTGGTTTATACGTTCCTTTTAGTTTCGACTTTAGGGATAATTTTTTTCGCTATCTTCTTCCGAGAACCACCTAAGGTTCCGACTAAGAAATGAAATTTTAATTGAAGGAAAGAAATAATTTAATTGAAGTAAGAAGTCCCCCGGAGGGGAGACTTCTTACTTCAATTAGTCCCCGTGTTCTTCGAATGGATCTCTTAATTGTTGAGAGGGTTGCCCAAACGCGGTATATAAGGCATACCCAGTAAAGCTTACAAGTAAACCAGATATGGAGATGGCGACTAAAGTTGCTGTTTCCATTTTTATAGAATTTCAAGATTACAATGGATATACAGGCAGTTCCTGACGCATTAATTAAAACCCTTAATTTCTTATTGCCGTCGACTTGGGAGGATTGTTGACATCAATCTTGAAGACGTGTATTAACGATAGCCTTATGTTGAGGCGGAGAATAGAGAAAAAAGTGGACCGAAGTTTTCTAAAAGAAAATAGGCCGTGTATTAACGATGGGTATGTCCAAACAGTCAACTACTATATGTGTATGTTGATAGATAGGCTGTAAATGTATATATAGCCAACAATAGACTGTATTATTATCTATGCTCTGAGGGAAAAGACGATGCACTGTGTGTCTTTTAGCTAAAAGAAACCGGAGCCTAGCTAGGTCAGTAGCAATGTAGACTTAAACAATTGTCAGTTGTAGACTTATGTTCTGCTGAATATCAGGCACGAGCACCGGTACTTTTGTAGGCTATTCTACCAGACCACCACTCTTTGCGACATGGAACCTAAACCCATAGGTGGATGCTAGGACAGCACGCCACCATGAGTCCATGATGTAAGCCCTCTTAGCATGACTATACTGAGGCAATCTGGTATAGCAGATTAGCTGTGTTAGACAGAAAGGGGAGAAGCTATACACAGCAAGTGTACCTGCTCTGTAAGCGGGCGGTGACAAGGCTTTTTTGGAGAAATAAGAGGCTGCTATGGGTTTTTTTTTTTTGTCCCTTTTAAGGTCTTGTTTGGATGCGCATGTTTTTATCTCAATCCACGTGTGTTGAAGTGGATTGGAGTGGAATTAAACTGAGTTCCATTCCATTTCACTCCAACACACATGTAAATTGAAGCGAATACACATGCATTCAAACGAGGCCTAAATGAGATGGTGCACTGGGTGCTGTTAGTGGCTGATTGATTGGAGCCAAGTCATGCTCTGACCACCCGCCCCGCATCCTAGCACGCTTTCAAGTATTGGGCCTAAGTTGCCTATCTAGTTGGGTTTTGATTATTCTCTGACTGCGTTTTTTACGAGACTGTTTTTTGTTGGTAGTTTGAGATTCGATCACTTGCATGCACACAATTCTCTCAACATCATCCATGACAACAACAGGTCCACACATGTGAAATTAAAACAATTGCAATCCATACACTTCTAACAATGTGACATTGTAAATGGTTGACATAATTAACAGAGTCGGGCATTTGGCTGGGTCGTTTTAACATTTGCAGAGACGTCTTCCGTGGATGCCCCTCTATTAACTAAAAAGAGACTGCCTTCAAAAATGGTTTTTTTTAGCAATGAATGCCGGCATGGCTCAAAATCTTTTCTAATCATGCTACCATGAATCTACGTTTCAAACGAATTTAACAAAAACAAAAATATATTACATATGGAGTTGCATTGTGATACTATGCAAGGCACAGCGCGAATAATATACGAAACGACTTCACTTGGCAAACTGTTAATCGGATAATAAAAGTTTGCAAGATAGTAGTAATAATAGTCGCCACACTATTGCACACCGTTTAAACACAAGCACTTTTAAATAGATTTGGCTAGCATTCACCGAGCACAAAATACCATACACTACGGGAGACGCGCTCTTTGCCGAGTGCTCGGAGCTTTGCCAAGTGTCGAAACACGGGCACTTTCGGCAAAGAAGCGGTTTGCGAGAGTGCCGCAAAGCCAGCCCTCGGCAAAAGGTCGTCTTTTGCCGAGTGTCAAACACTCGCAAGCGTCCTATTTGTCGAGTGTGAGACACTCGGCAAAGAATAACCCTCGGCAAAGAATAACTCAGCCGACGCCGGTGGCCCTCCGTCATCCTTTTTGCCGAGTCTTTGGCCGTTAGCACTTTCGGCAAGCGTCTTGTCTTTGCCGAAAGTCTTTGCAAGCTGGCACTTTCGCAAGAGGTTCCTTGCCGAGTGCCAATTCAACACTTCGGCAAAGTATTTTTATTTTTTTTAATTTTGTTTTCAAATTTTTTCTGTGGCATTTATACAAGATTTTGAAACACATGTTCCAATTTGGAACTTTTCTATGACTTTTGGTATATTTTTAAATTTTTATGTTTACTTGAATTTTCTCGAAAAAGTAAATTTGAACTGCAGTGCAAGAAATATTAGAATTTAGCGATTCAAAAAATGGTATTCATGTTTTTGAGTGTATTTTGAGGCCGTGTCTGAGGGACATTCGTGAAATTTCGAACATCTATTTCATGAAACATGACCACCAACTTGTTAAACAGTGTTTTTAATTATATAAAATGCAAACGAAGTCCGAAAATCACGAAACTTGTAGAGGTGTCGTGTCATCGCATGTAGAGGCTGTGGTAAAAATTTAGAAGTTTCCGAGTAAGTTATGATGTACGATGCCTAAAACCCGGACATCTCCACATGTGATCACATATGGATTGAGCGGTGTAACACCCAACAATTTCAGTCTTTTAAAATAAGAAAATTCGATTTGATTATGTTATTATGTGAGCATTTAAATATAGGAAAGAAATAATTTTTGTGAAAATAAAACCAAATATAAGGCTAGTAACATGTTGATGCATTCATGATGCTTTATTTGGTTTTTGTAATGATTAGATTTGACCAAGGTTTGAATTGAATTCAAATTCAACTTGAAAACGAAATTGGAAAATGTATTTGGAAAAAAGAAAAGGAATTATTTTCCTCCTTCCTCGGTTTATTGCGCAGTTCCCTTTCTTCCCCGCTGCCGCTCGCTCTTCCTCTCTTTCCTTCTTGGGCGGCCCAATAAGCCGAAATATTTCCTCCACCGCACCTAGCATCGACAATTGCCATTGCCGCCACGCCTCGCTCACGCGGCCCCACAACGCCAGCGCCCACCCAGCAGAAGCCGCCATTGCCGCCGCCGTCGCCCGCTCTCGGCCGCTGATGGCTCGGGCCCGCTTTGTCGACGCTTTCCCCTCCTCCCGCGTGTCCACGCCCGGTCGGCCATAACCGCCACCGCTCCGCGCCCACGTTCGCGTCGTGGGAGCATCCTCCTCGCGCCGGCCTCTATAAACGGCGCGCCGAGCCCTTCCCGCTTCCCTCTGCTGTCTCCTTTCTCCTCTCGCGTCGCCTGCCCGTGGTAACCGCCCGCGTCGAAGGTCGCCGGGATCCGCCGTCCGCCCTCGTGCGAACCGCCGTCTCGAGACGCCGTCGACCCGTTTCTCCCATTGTGAGCTTCGCGTTCTCCTCTCTCTCTCTCCCGTTCAGTTTGTTTCTCGATTCGTGGCCCGTAGACCCGTTTTTGCGTGCGCCATGAACTTCCGCCATGCCGCCATGGCGACCACCGCGCCAACCGCGTCCCACCGGCCCCATTCTCGGCTGGCCGAGGTCTCCTTCACCCCTCTATTCCTCGGTGTTCTCGGATCGCGAAAACGAGGCTTCTAGGCCTTGTTTCCGTCTTGCGCCGACGAGGTCCTTACCGTCGGCCATGGCGGCGGCCGCCGTCGGACCACCGTTCAACCGGCTCCCTCCCTCTCTCTCTTCCCTTCTCTAATCTAGGCCGTCCCTTGATTGATCGACGCCCGAATGGCCGCCGATACCCTTTCGCCTGGCGATTTTGCTTAAGAGTCCCTCGGTTTGGATGAATTGAACCCGCCGTCCCTAGCGTAGTTTCAGTCGCGCTTTCTCGTTTTGAAGACGTAAAGTATAGGTTTTAGTCCAAAATACGTTTTCACTATTTACATAAATGCCACTACACCGTTTTGTTCATAAAATCGCGCGTTTTAGCTCCGAATTGACCCGTTCAAATTGCGTTAGTTTCGTAATTTCATAATCTATGTGTTAGTACCACTGTTAATCAAGTTTGTAACTTTTAAATTTCATGGTTAGATTTAATTAAATAAATTGCTATAGGAAACCCCGTTTAATTCATAACTTTCACTTTTTAGCTCTGTTTTTCGTGAACTTCGCGTTGACGTGATCGTAGCGAGACGTAGATTCTTTTCATAAACATTTTATCTTGTTTTCTATACTATTGGTGTACTGTTCTAATTATAGGAATGTTTGCTTTGCATGAATGCCTTTGGAATGTTGTATGTTCTTTGTGTTGGTTGCGTTCTGAGGCGGTGAGGAGAACGTTGGAGACCAAGAGTTCTTCGACGACCAAAGCAGGACCCAGTGGGGAGTTTGCTAACCAAGGCAAGTATAGCATGGGATCTACCTTGATGCCTATTCACCTTTATTAATTACTCATTTGCATGTGTCTAATTTTGATACCCGTAAGGACATCCTAGTGATTGATAATCCTGTTCCTTGTCTCCTATGGGTTATATGCATATGGGTAGTTTGCTAGTGCTTAACATAACTATACATGAGCTACATATTGAACAATGATTCTATGGAAAGAAAAGGTAAAAGTTGCTTTTAAACAACTAGATTATAGGGCGATGGAGCAAATGACTTTCGATCATGATGCTCTCGGCCCTCTATAAGGACTTATCTGTCGGCAAAAGCTGGGACCGACAAAGTGCAACCGTGAGAGTCATATGGCTCGACTTTAGCTCATAATAGGACCTTTTCTAGCTTGTTAG